TGAAAACCCCATCGTACTACTCAGTGTGCTGAGCGGAGTCTGAAACCGGGGGGAAGCCGGAGCACGTCCCCTTCCCTTCCTCTCCTGGTCCTTCCACAGGGTCTCTCTACCACAGGGTCTCCCCAGGGAAGCACTAGGCACCCCCCCTGCCAGCATGGCTATCCCCCTTCTGCAGCCTCACTCCACACAGCTCCTAGATGCCCCCTAAGAGCCAGAATTAAGCTCTGCTCACCACAGTCTCAGAGCCTCTCCTGGTTCGTGGGTAGGTTGGCACCCATCCCTGAACCTCCATATTGCTGAGGGAGCTCCTGCCCTGATGGCACAATTCCAAACACTGCTGGCACCCGCCTTTTGTGGGGGGGGTCCAGGTGAAAAGGGGTCTCAGCAGGTGGTAGAATCCTGGTGGCTGGGAACAGCGGGTGGGAGATCCTGGGGGAAGGGAGGGAGTCTGGAAGTTTTCTGAATCCCAGGCTAGGCCTCCAGCCAGTGGGCAAGGGAGGCTCAGCCTTGGGGTATGGAAAGGGGTCCCTGAGTGAGGTGGCATCTGTGTGAGATGTTAGGGCTCTCTGAAGGAAGAGTCCCCCCGCGCCCAAGGCAGCAGGCACGCAGTGAGCCCACAGCTCCTCCTGGCTAGACTACCATGCTGTGTGACCAGGAATAGGTCGTCCCACCTCAGTCTCACTTTTCTCATCTGCAAAATAAAGAGATTAATAGCACTTTTACAAAGGATTGTTTGGTGACCCAAATAAGATAAAGACCATAAAAAGATTCCGTAAGTCCATCTGGAGCTACCAGTGGGCAGGGCGGGAGTTGGTGGGGAGCCAGCTCCTCTCTTACTGCAGCTGACCTTGGACCAGCAGGAGGGACTCATGCAGGTGCCAGCAGAGCCGCAGGCTCGCAGGCTCGCAGGCTCACAGGCTTGGGGCAGGAGGAGCTGGACAGGCCTGAGCAGGAAGGAGGGGGGGCNACTCCAGCCGCAGGCTCGCAGGCTCGCAGGCTCACAGGCTTGGGGCAGGAGGAGCTGGACAGGCCTGAGCAGGAAGGAGGGGGGGCAGGGAGCGCAGAGAAGAGGGTGGAGTGTGGGAGTGCTCTCCAAGGATGGAGGCCCAGCCGCCCTACCGTTGGCAGCTGGACTTCCTCGCCCAGCAGCCAGAAGGTCCCGGGCAGGGAGCCACTCTTAGCATCCCCTCTGCTCTGCCATCCTGCGCAGCGGGAGGCTGGCACACGGGCTGACCCACTTGACAGAGGCTGGGTAGGCTCTGAGCTGATCGCTTAACCAGAAGGTGCTAATTGAGCTGATTAATTGAGCCAATTACCTCAGGCTGCCAGGAAGGCTGGGAGTGGGCCTGGCTCCCTGGGACCAGGTGCAGGGCTGCAGGATGGGCTGAGAGGGGTGGAGGCTGAGCTCTGTGCACCCAGGCCTTTCCCCCTGCAGAGGCTCTGGCTCCCACGGAGAACCTGCAGTGCCCACTCCAGCAAGGTGAGATTGGGCTCCTGGGCAGGTCCAGGAGAGAGCCAACCGAAGGGGAGGTGGGGCTGGAGCTGATGTGGGGACCCCAGGACAGGAAGGAGGTGCACCAGGAGAGTGAACAGTTCCACAGAGAAATGAATTACCCTTTCCTTCGCCCCTCCCTCTGCTTTTGGAGTGTTGAATGAAAGTGAGCGCAAACATGAATGTGAGTCATCACCACTGAGCCTGTGGATGCAGGGGAGCAGGGCGGAGCTCCCTCCACCCCACCTGGGGGTGACACCATTGCTGCTGCCAGTTTGCAGATGAGGGTGACTAGGCTCAGGGCTGCTCCCCGCTGAGGTTACAACACTCAGCTGGCAGATGAAGGAAGCAGGATTCAAACTTGAGTCCTCAGGCTGGGAAAGCTCTGTGGGGTGTGGGGGACTTGGAATCAATGAGTGTGAGTGTGAACATGACTTAACACAAGTGTGGCCACAGGAGGGAAGGCAGCGCCCTAGTGTCTGTGAGCGTGTGAAGCTGACCCAACTGGCTCGTGTGCCAGGGCAGGGGCTGTGGGAGCGTGTCCACCCACAGCCGTGCCCCTCAAAGAATGCTAGTCCTCTCAGCTGGGACCACAGCCTCCACCCCGAGCCATGCCCAGCTGCAGGCCAGGACAGTCCATCCACCGTGGGGAGGAAGCTCCAAGCCCCAACCTAGGGGCCTACAAGTCTCCTGTCTACTGCTTTTCTCATTTCCCCACCATGGTCCCCACCAGCACCCAGGCTGGCCCACACTAATTTCCCCCTTCCACGCCTGCTCCCTTCCATTTCTGTCTCCATACAGAGGGCTTTAAAAACCCCACAAATCTAATCATAGCTCATTTTTGTCTTTGCTGTTATTGGTTTTTTGTGGGGGTTTTTTGTTCTGTTTTTTGTTTTTGCAAGTGGTATGTCTCTTTACTTGGGTAACAGAAACTATATTCATGTCAGGACAAAAAGGTGCTTTTTTCAAAAATCAACTTTACTGACATGATTTAAATAAAACAAAATGCACCCATCTTAAGTATTTTAGGTGATGAATTCTGATGAATATACAAACCTGTGTAACACCACCCACCATATTTCCGTCATCTCAGAAAGTTCCCTCATGCTCCCATTCAGTCAGCACCCACACTCCTCCCCACCTCCCACCCCAAGCTACCACTGATCTGACATCTATCACTGTAAATTAGTTTTGCCTTTTCTAGAATTTCATATAAATGGAACCACACAGTACCTACTCTTTAGTGCCTGGCTTCTTTCACTCAAGGTAATATTTTCAGAATTCACCCATGGCCCTGGGGTGGCATGGATAAATCACACGCTCATGCACCGGCAGTCTGCTTTCAGGGCTTGCTGGCCCTCCGCTGCATGGCTGTCCACCGTCTGCTCATGTCTCTACCCACGCGTGGGAATTTGTTTTGTTTGGAGGCATTATCAATAAAGCTACTATGAATATTTCATACAAGTTGTTTTGTATACATAAATTTTTATTTCCTTGGGTTAAATATGGCAATCGAAATATAGTTTCTAGATAAAATAAGTACATGTTTAATGCTATAAGAAACTACAAAACTGGTTGTTATGATGAATTTTGAAATTCTTTAGCCTGACCCCCACCCCAGGCCCTGGCTCCTTTCTCTTCAGCCCCATTTTTCCTCCCTTTCCCCTTTCTTAATGCATGTCAACCACACTCTTTATTGCTTTTTCTTTAAAGTGCCCGGCTTCTTCTGACCACAGGACCTTTGCATGTGCTGGTTCCTCTCCATAGAATGGTTTCCCCACTCTTCCGTTCTTCAGGTCTCATCTGTTTTTTGTGTTTTTAAAAAAATATTTTTAAATTGACTTCAAAGGGAGGAAGGGAGGGGGGGAGAGAGAGAGAAACATCAATGAGAGAGAAACATAGATTGGTTGCCTCCTGCCCCCTACTGGAAATCAAGCCCACAACCCAGGCATGTGCCCTGACCAAGAATCAAACCGGTGACCTCCTGTTGGGAAAATGCTCAACCACTGAGCAACACCAGCCAAGCTTCAGGTCTCATCTTAATATTTATTCCTCAAGGAGCTTTCCAACCATCCCTTACGTGGTGTGTCTCATGCCTTCTCAAAGCTCCCTATACATCTTTATAATACACATCACGGTGTTAATTAAATATGATTATGTGTATGTCATATAAATTTGTGTTTAATATTCCTCTCCTCCACTCAACTGTGGGCCCTGTGAGTGCAGGAATCATCTCCTCTGTGCCTACCTAGCACAGTACCTGACTCATAGGTATTTCACAAGATCAAGTGAAAGAGGCTGAGCTCCACATTCCACAGGCCTGGGACGGGGCCTGCAGGTTCTGCTGAGGAGCCCGTGAGCCCACCTCCCAGAGAGGCCAAGCCGGACAGGCCCAATGGCCCGGGGAGAAAGGAAGGGAGGAGGCAGGGAAGGCAGGAGAGGAAAGAGGATGACTCATCTTCAGAGACATGGTTAGGGGAGAGGAAAAGCAATTCAGCAGCTTCTTGGCCTTTCTGTTGTATGGAGACAAATGCTCCAGCCCTTGTGAGCAGGGGTGGCAATTAGGTGCTCCCGGATGCAGGGGAAAACACTTGCCTGGGCCTGTGAGCAAAAAATAACAAGGGAGATTTCTCAGGTTCAGAGAAAAGGCATGTTACCCATCCCACTTTGTCCCCAGCCTCTGCCACTACCCCCTCATCCCCAAGCTCCCCAGCAGTGGCTGTCCCCACCCCACCACAGAGGCTGTGTAGCTGAGGCTAGGGAGAGAGTGGTTTCCCTCCCAGAAAGACCACGCAGAAGCAAAGAAACTTTGCTTTTCAAAGGGCAAAGGGGCCTAATGCCCAAAGAACCAGGATGAGGCTGGAGGCGTGGGTACCGTGGACCTATGAACCCTGAGGGGAGAAAAAAGACACCTACTAAGAAGGGCTCCTGGTGGTTAACAGGGCCTAAATTTTTAAAAACCGATCCCAGTAGCCTTTCTGCACAGCGGTCTCTCATGTAAACTGCACTTTAGGGAGAAACTGCACTGAACCACCTGCCTCTGCACTGATGCCCACTCCCCCGCCCCCAGGCCCCCTGCCTTCTTTATGAAGGTTTCCTGGAACCCAATTTCAACCAGCAGGACTGAGGCTCCCCCCATCAGAACAGTGCTGCACAGCTCTGACCAATCAGAGCAGCTCTATTCTGACCAATCAAGACAGTGCCTTTGGACCAATCAAACTTCAAGGATTTGGAGTCCTCATTTGCATGAAGAGGGACCAATCAGAGACCAGGGGCAGGGACTTCTGTCCATATAAGCCAGCTCCCCTCAAACTGGAAGTCAGCAGGTTTCCTTTCCAGCGAAGACTCAGTGTCCCTGGCTGGCCGGGAACTGGAGCTGTCCTGCTGGACCAGAGCAGAGCATCGCTGCCAGGGAGCAGCTGGCAGAGCTGCCTGGCGGACGGGCCTGGCTCCGGGGCTGCCTCGCAGCTGTGCTGTATCACAATTGAGCTGTTTGCACTGAAAAAAACTTCCCTTCCTCACCACACCCCAAGTTGGGGGTTCCTGTTGAGGTTGAATGGGCACCGAGGACCATGTGTTGACGTTGCTGAACAAAGCAGGCCTGGGAGAGTTCCCAGAAAGCCTCTCTCGCACGTGCAGAAGTCAGGCCTGCAAAGCAGAGAGAGGGTGAGCACGGGCAGGCTAGATGGTAGGCACTTCTCTGTGAGGGGAGACTGGGCAGCAGGAGCGCCAGGCCGCGGCGGTGTGGCCTGACGCCCTGAAGCCGTCCCTCTCTCCCTCGACAGGAGGCCTGGAGGGGAGAGGCAGGCGCTGAGCCTGGTGGGAACTGACCCACAGGCTGCGCAGGACGCGTGCTAATGGATGGGACCTCCCGCCATCACCTAGACCTTATCAGTAGCAATCTGGCTTTTAACTTCCCACAGGCCAGACCTCGCCCTGTAGTTCTGTAACCTTTTCCCCTTCTTGTGGGCACGGATTGTTGTTCATGAGAGGGTCTGAGTCAGTCTGCCACCCAGACCCTCTGCTCCTGCGCTCTACTGTGCCCCCCAGACAAAGCACGTTGGTCTGAGTCACACTGCAGAGGCGACTGGGATCTCGATCCTCTGAGCTGCCAGAGCCTTTGAGGGGCAGCGAAGCAGAAGGGCCTCCAGGACCAGAGCCCAGGGGTGTCCATGGGCCTCACCATCTCTCTGATCCCCAGTGCACAGTCCTTCAGGTCAGGGCCGGGCCAGGAATGGTGGTAGTGAGGATGGTGAGAGCAGACTTCAGGTGAGTCAGTTCTTGCCGAGCCTTGCTCCCTAATCCTAAAATGGGGACAGAAAGGCCAACCTCAGTAGTAACTTACCAGGATTAAATAAGGTAAGTATTCCCCCAAAAATGGTGCAGTAAGCCCTTAAGTTTGTGGACCTCAATTTAATGGAATTCAGATTTAATGGACAAAATTTCTAGTCTATATGTCATTTGTGAAAATTAACACCCTGTTAATTTTAAAATATTTTTAACCAAGATTTGCTTATAATTAAAATAACAGGTTATTTGTTTTGTTAATAATTCAGTTATTTTTAACAAATTTTAGTGAAGGGGCCATATGCTGGAAAAAACACTAATTTTGCCAAAATAAATAAATATTACATATCTACAACTGTAGCCTACATATTTAAGTCCACGAGTCACCCTCATAAACAATTTTCAGGAATGGTCAGCCCCTGATCACACTGACTCGCAGGTGGTAACTGGTTCTGTTGTTAAGTGTGGCAGTTTTAACTGCTGCAATCGGTGGTCCCCTGTGGGCCAAGCCCTGCCCCTGCCATGCGCATTCGTTTACTCTTGGTGACTGGTGAGTGCACACATTTACTAGACTTATTCAGTATAAATTTAAAATTACAGTAACACAGAAAACTTTTCTGTGAAATTAAACTTTGCATACATACTTAGTTTTAATTACACAAAAGTAAAAACAGGTAAACTAACTTGTCAATTTTTTAACATACACGTTTGGAAAACCTACATTATTATATAACGGACTTGCGGCTTTAACGGACACCCCCTCACCTGAATTAGTCTGTTATATCGAGGTTTTACTGTAGCTCATATTGTGAATAAAGTAGAAACTTCATCATAGTTTGTTTTTAACCCTCACATTTTAATCCTTACTTTTACAGTATTTTATTGCTTATGAAACACTTCCACGGTTACGGTCTCATTTGATCTTTATAACAATATTGCAGATACACAGGACCAACGCTATTAGCCCCATTTTACAAATGAAATAGCAGAGACCCAAAAGGGTAAAAAAAAAACCGTGCGGTTTCTGCAGGACCTCATGAGTATGCAAAACCAGAATTAAACCTCCTGATTTCTAGCCTGAATTTTTTCCCACTGGACTTCCATTTTTTATGCAAATCCCTGCTTCCTGGGGTTCATTGGGGTCAGCTTGCAACCCAGCAATCCAAAGACTTTGAAGTCTTTGTGGGGGTTTTAAGAGCTGAGGCCCTTTCCTTCCAACTGAAGGACAGGTTTGGGGTATACACAGCTGAAGGTCTTTGGACAACACACTTGCCTGGGAGATGGGGGTGAGGCTGCAGCTGGCGTTGGGGTTGGGACAAAGAATTTCTCCCTGAAGAAGTTGGAAGGGAAGTTCACAGGAGTAGAGAGGAGAACACCAGATGGAGGGGGAAGTAGTAACACTAGACCCTCCTCCCAGCCTCCTAGTTGGGAGGGTCTTATAAAGCAGGAATGGTGGGAGGACCCAAGGATGACCTTGGACACTTTACCTTTCCATAGCAGAAACTGAAAAGCGAATTAAAATCCTTCCTGCAAAATGTCAAATACCTGAGAAAGACAAAGGGATACACAGTGCATTAGTTATCTATTGCTGTGTAACAGATAATCCCCAGGTCAGGGCAGCATTCTGGAGGCCCTCCCAAGCCGCACCAGAGAGGCCCCACTCACCAACCAGGGACCCCAACTCCTGCCCTGACTGCTGCACAACCTCAGCTACCCTAGATCACGGGGAGCAAGTGCCCCAGGCAGCAGCTGAGGTCAGGAAGGAGACTGCTGCCAGGGCAGGGGGGAGGCTGCCTTCACGAAAGCCTAAACACATGGGGAAAGGAAAGGCTGGTCGTTGACCTGAGAAAGAAGATGCCTGGCCCAAGAAGGGCACCGGGAGGCTAACTGGGCTCAAAGTTAAAAGCAGAGCCTAGCAGCTGTTTCTGAACAAGGGTCTCTCAGGCGAGCCCTGCTTCAGGGAGAAGCCTGCACTAAGCACCCCCAGGCCCGCCCCCACTGAACTGCTCCCGCCTGCTTCCTGCCAGGGAGCCCCAGGAATCCTATTTCTACAAATGGGGCTGAGACGTCCCCTCCAACCCAGCTCTGCAGCTGTGTCCTCATTAGCATCTTCACTGACCAATCAGAGCAGCTCCATTTCGATCCATTAGGAGAGCGCTTTTTGGACCAATCCAACTGTGAGAATTTGGAGTCCTCATTTTCATGATGGGCCGATCAGGGCCTAGGGGCGGGGACGTCTCTGTGTCAGTCCGCGCCTCGCTGGCCCAGGGTGTGCATCTCCCCTCTCACCCTAGACCAGACGGCGTCTGCACCGCTCACCTGCCAGAGCGCAGCAGGGCCGAGGGAGCAGAGCTGCCTGGCCCCTGGCGCCTCCCAGCCGCTGCCCCAGTGAGCTGCTCCACAGCCGAGCGGAATGGGGACCGAGCTGTTTATGCTGAATAGCACGTTCTTCACTGCTCCCCAAACTGAGGATTCTTGTTGGCAATGAGCTGGCACCGACTGTCAGCCAGCACTCCAGGCCTGCAGCTGAGGGGCGGGGGCACCACCTCTGCCCTGCCAGTGGGTCTGGGAATAGGTCTGGGCACACCCTTGACAACACTCATCGGTATGGAAAATAAACTGCCTTCCCCTGTTCTTGGCTGGCTGAGGGGCAAAGCTCAGGTTATCAAGGTGAAGGCTGCCTCACCCGGCTTCCCCTTCCAACAGCCCCCACTCAGGTCTATCTGGAGTCTTCACTTTCACGAGCATGGACCGGCCAGGGACCAGGGGCAGGGACTTCAGCTCCTCTGGCTCAGGGAGTGCATTCCTCAGGCAGCCTTCACCACCTTTCCTGAGAAGGCAGCACCAGATTCAGCCTACCCCTGCCTGCTGGCCTCATACAATTAGCTCAGAAATGGACACCTGACCCAGCAGGAGACAAGTCATTGGCGGACCAAGTCTTTCTTAAGACTTTGGCACTGGGGTCTCAGCGCCTGGAAGTCACTCTGGCTGGGCCTGGAGCTGGAGGTCAGGTAGTCAGAACAGACTTGGGGGAGACAGAGCAACTACATTAGGACCATGTGTTAATGAGAAAGCGAAGAAAGTTATCTGCAGAATAAGGCGGGAAAATGGAGCACAGAGCAGCAGGGATGAGACCCAGAACGGCATCAAAATAAGCCAGAAGGGCCATTCCCTGAGCTCCTAGGCGGCTCTCAACTCTCCCAAGACCTGGATATTCTTCTGGCTGCAAGTCCCATGAGACGGTCTTTCAGTTTTCTGATAAATTCCCTTTTCCTCAAGCAAGCTTGAGTGGTTTCTCTCTAGGCAGTCAGATGGTCCTGCCTAAGACCTGGAAGAGGTGGAGAGAGAGGAGCTGTGGGCTCGGCAGCACACCAGATAGGGCCTCTGGTAACAGTGTCACACTCATTCGCACACCTTCCAAGCTCGGAAATCCAGAGAAACAAACATGAACTAACTCTTGCACTGGCGTTTCCTTTCGGCAGCAGCTCTGCACCTTCCTGCTCTCCCTGTGGCTGGGTCCTAGCCACAGCAAGAAACAGGAGTCCGACGCCACGGCAGGTGACTTCCCTCTCAACCCCTTTGGGCAGCACTGAGACGAAGAGACATGTTCACAGAATAGGCAGCCTCTGTGGGCTGGTGTTGGCACTGACACTGGCCTTTGCATTGATGCCACAGACAATGTGGAGAGAGGACGCCGAGGGCTGGGTGGAGGTGAGGATGATGCCTTGTCCCTTCCTGGGCTCCCTCCTGCCCTGCGAGCTCCCACGGTTTGGCTTGAAAGCAGTGCGAATTCCTACAGCAGAAAGCACATGCATCTTTCAATGCAGGTCCGGCAGAAGGAATTTTGTTACGCGTCAGCTCATTCAGCACATATTCACTGAGTCCTTCCTATGCGCCAGGCCCTGAACTGGGTACAAACTTGAAACCAGTGCAGCCCCCAGGGGCCGTGATGAGGTGAGGAGCACTGACTGAACAACACCCAGGTTGGATCATGGAGGACCTCACATGCTGGGCTGAGGAGGTAAGTTTCTGCATGGAAGAGTCTCTTACGAGAGATGAGCTTAGGAAAATATCCTGACAGCAATGAGTGACACAGACCAATGCCAGGGGGTGGGAGAGGCTCCTAGAAACTGGGGGGCACTCAGACAGGCAGGCAGGAGCCTGAACCAGGCAGAGAGAGCGGGAATGGCAGGGAGCGGGAGCCGGCAGAGGGGAGAGGTTATGCAGGAGGGAGGGTGTGCAGGGAAGGAAAGGGGCAGAAGCCTAGGAAAGTTCTAGCTTTCCTTCCCAGCGTAGGTCCCGCAAGTCACACACCTAGAATCACAAAACACCCTAAGACTGTCTACAGGGCACAAAATACCAATGACTTAAAACATTCAGAAAGTCCCCAGATGCCAGCGTTTCCCAGTCTCTTGAAAGCCATTCAGCTTTTTGTCAGGTGCTTGCAGAGGGCATGGGAGCGATGGGCTGCTCTGCCCCTGTCTTCCGGGGTCCCCCAAGCATTCTGCAGACAAGTAGCAAAGACACCAACCAGGGTGCTGGGCAAAGGGGGAGCCACATCCCTGCTCTCATCCAAAACCACACCAGAATTTTCAGCACAGCCATCAAGAGCAGGACCCACCCCTGGTGGGCTCGCGCAGCTGGGTGGGGCAGGGCTGTTCAGACTGGAACTATGATCAGTGTGGCAGGTGAGGGACACCTGGCAGGGCAGCAGCTGTGGCACCTGAAGTTCCTGGCCAGCGAGGTGGGAGAGGGGAGCCTGGCAGGGGACCAGGGCAGCAGCACTGCCAGCATGCTGCCCCACACTCACCGTGCCCGGAGCAGCCGGGCTCAGGCCCCTGCTGAGAGTGCCGTCCCCCGCCAGCCCTTAGCTGAGCCAGAGCATCCGCGCCTGCTTTCTCCCTGCAGGGCCCAGCTCCGGCGCTCGGGGCCTGGGGCCAAAGGCAGAGGGACGACGGGCTGGTGCTGCCTAGGGCTGGAGGTTGGTAAGCAGGGAGGAAGCTGGATCTGAAGACCCACCCTCTGCCTCTGCTGTCTTTGCCTCCACATGCCGGCAGGAGGCAGAGCAGAGCACAGAGCGGCCCCCCAGCACGGCGCCCCCTCCAGGGTGGGAGGCCAGCAGGCAGCCTGGGGTGCAGGTGCACCATGCTGAGACCCAGGAGGCCGGGTCATGAGCCATTTGTCCCTCTGTGACAACTTTAGGGCTCCCACGGCTTCGCCTGTAAAATGACAGAGTTGGAATTGAACACAGGCATCCCAGATGCGCTGAGACCCAGCCGACGTGCATGAACATCTGGAGGCAAGGGCCAAGCCAGCTTTCTTATCCTTCCCCCAATCCTGGTCCTTCAAGTGTCCCTCCCATCAGGGTCTCCAGAACCCCGATTCACCCCACCTGAGCCCTCAGCCCTACAGACGGGCTGTGGGGCTTTGCCGCTGCCTGCCAGCCTGCGTTCAGGGAGTGGGGCTGTGGTGTCTGCCGAATTTGTGGGGAAGCACAAATCTGCACCAACCTGCTTCAGAACCATGCTCAAGTGGCAGACGGCCCAGGGAGATGCTTTGCTGCCTGTCCTAGAACCTTTAGGCCCCAGCGGCACCTCCCATGAGGAGGCACTTTGATGGGTCACTCATCCATCCCTCGGCCTCACATCCCTAGCTCCAACCAAGCCAAGCCAGCCTCCTTCACGAAGTGCCTTGGGTAAATGTGCTCCAAGGTCATGCTGGTTAGCCCTGCAGATGTTCAGCATCCGGTCAAGCCCCTGCCACGAGTGTGAAGTGACCAGGGCCAAGCTGAGCCCATGCTCCGGGAGCCTGTGACAGGCGGAAACATTCCAGTCCCCCTGCCTGTCCCCGGCTGCCCGGCAGGCATCATGTCGTCTCACCCAGAAGGTGGGCACCCACACTCAGGGCGCGAAGCCTAGAGCAACCCAAGGCTGGACGTGGCAGGTCCACGTGGCAGCACCAGGGTGTGGGCACGTGGCGCGTCCTGAACCCTCAGCCCTGCAAAGGCAGAATGAGAAGCGGCCCCACCGCCTGCTGGGGGCACCACCCGCGGCCGTGCGCAGGCGCTGGCCGAGCCGGGGTGGGGGGTCCTCACGGCTGCTGCTCAGCCTGGAGGACAGCAGCGCCCGGCCCCCAGAGCAGCAGGGGAGAACCAGAGCCCCCTCCCTCCGCAGGGCGGCCTGCGGGCACTGCCCTCTCAGTCTGAGGAGGCCCTCTCCTGAGGGCCCTGAGCCCTGCAAATCCTCTGACTATGCGGGACCCAGAGAGGGGCTGGCTGAGGCTCAGCAAAAGGTGGAAAGGAGAAACTTGCGTGAAGGAAAGGAGCAAGAAAGTGGCATCTCTCCAGAGCACGGGGGAGTGGTGGCTTCTCCCAGGAGGCAGGAGGGTCCGCGCTCTGAGCCAAGGAGGCACGCCCCATGGGAGCAAGGAGACCCTGGGGGGCCAGAGACGCAGGAACAGTGGGAGGGGAGAGTGGAAAATGGGGGGGAAGGGTTGCTAGCCCCTTTACCACAGCAACGTATAAACCACATACCCTCCACCCTCACTTTGGCTCATTACTTCCCACCCCAGGGAGAAAAGGCTCTCTGCCCGATAGATGGGAAGACTGAGGCTCAGAGAGGTGGAGTGACTGGGCCACCACCACACAGCGGGCACGAGACCCAGGAGGAGACCCCACTCCTAGTTGGATGTGAACTCTCAATCCCCCTGGATGCTGAGTTTGTACCA